ACTGGTCTCCAAGGATAGGAATCCCCACCATGGGCACACCATGTTGGATGGCCTCCATGACACTATTCATCCCACCATGGGTGACAAAAAGTCGGATGTGAGGGTGACCTGTTGCAAATAAGAAAAAGAGCAGAATATTTCAGGATGAAGTTTCAGGACACCAGGATAAGCAGAAAAGGCAAAAGAAAATACCAAGGAAAGTTTAAGGGGTGCTAGAGCCATTGTAAAAGATGATTTTGCTTGCTACACAGCCAAGGATTCCAAGACTTGCCTCTGTATAGAGACTCCTTGCCTCAGCCAAAACCCAGAGGAGGCTCAGAACCCAGGGAGTTCTGTTGAGAATAGTTCTAAGCAAGGCATATACCCACCCATCCCTCCTTCTATCTCCCCAATGCCTCTCTTTGCTTCTCTCATCTGTTTTCTCTTTGTGTTCCCCTATGTCTGTCTCTCTCTGAGCAAACTTTTCTCACCCAACAATTAAAAGCCATCTTCTCTGAATTCCTGATACATTCATTGACATCAAAACTCATGTAGCACTCATAAAACTGACACTGTATGTATTGTCTTTTTAAATATATGAGAAACCCCTTGAAAGCAAAGACTGGATTCTACACCTCAGTATTGCAAGTCCAGCCTCTCCATCCCATCCTTATTTAGAGCTAAGTAAAATGATTGTTGATGGTGAAGAGTTCAGCTTGTGTCAGTCAACTGGGTTATGCATCACAGCCTCCTGGTTTCTTCTTTGAAATGAGAATCATATTCCACAGCCCAGACTTAAAGAAATGCATTTGTAGAAGTGGAAACAGGAATCTGTTTTTTTTTTAATTCTACAGATTATTTTGTCATAGTCTTGGTTACCAGCCTCTGATCCAGTCAGTGGCTATGGCAGTGAGGGGTACCTAAGAAGCAGCTCTGGGCAAAGATAATCTGTTGAGGGGAGGAAATCCTCTGGTATCAGAGACTCAGTCTGCCAAATAACTGGCTATGAGGTTGCTCAGCTTGGCATTCAGGTATATTAGCATCAATGCCGTGAATGTATGAGTTGCTCACACCTTAATAGTTAAGGAAGATGTACTGAAATGTGAGTGTGTCTGTGTGTGAGTGTGTATGGGAACATGGATGAACAGGTGCTCATGAAGCCACCAAATAGAGTGGCAATGTGCCCCCTGGTATGTGTTCTCAGAAATCACAGGTTGTTTAGGATTACTTTTGGGTGACCTCACCCAAGACCAAAGGCAGTAGGTCAATGTGACTTTGATGGCTGTAGATATCAGGCCTCAGATAGAAAAGAATGAAGGGGAGATTGCGGTTGTGGCATGTGGTCTCATAGGAAGTATAGTCTGATTCCCTAAGAGCTCCAACTGGCTGCCCAACTCCTGCCCTCTAAAGAATTACCTTGTGCTGATGAAGTGATCCAGCTAGAGATCAGAGACTTAATGAGCCCAAGGACGTGTAAATGAGAAGAAAGAAGCAATTCTGGGCAGTCCTTACCCAGGAGGTCATTCTGAGGAAGCCAGTCCACGAGTTTCACATTTGCTGCCAATTTGATGTCTTTGGGCCAATGGGAAGCTTTATACTTCCATATCACCCCTTGAGGGAGTCTAGCAAAGGCAGCATTCATCTCCTTGGGGACTTCCTGGGACCGAATGACGCTCACCATGGAGCCCAGGGTCACAAGGACAAAACCAGAGTCTCCAAACTTGGCGATGAAATTCTCAAATTCCTGGAGAGAGGTAAGAAAGGAAAGGAGCGTGGTGTTTTTCAGGAATGCTTAGACAGCCATGAAATGAAAGCCAGCTGTTTACTGAATACACTCCCCTGTCCTTCCTAGAGCTCACTGTCCTGAAACTGTGTTCACAGCCTCTGAGACAGCCAGCTCTCCCTGTGCTGTGCTCATGCCCATCGTGTTGCTGGAAATAGCTTTCATTTTTGAAATCCTGACCTAGAGCCAGGACCATCCTAGACCCTCTCGTCATTTAGGTCCATGGAGACATGGGCACTCGGGTGTCTTCCAAAGTCAGACCAGAAGCAGTAGGGAAAGGAAGAACACGAGTAGGCAGCCAGGGTCTAGCAGAGGGAGGTGGCACATCTGGAGGCCAGAGTGGAGAAGCTGGGAGAAGCCTCTGGCATCAGAAGTAGAGGCAGAATGGGAAGGTAAGCGGCCACCACACCCACTGCAGCAAGCAGCGTGCTTCCTCCCACATCTCACAATATTCTTAGTCACTGATCTGCACAGTTCATCTCCTACCTCAGTGATTCGGTCATATGGCTGCACAGCATATTCACGTGGGAAGATGTTTGTAAAAGCAGAAATGCCCAGTCCCAGTCCCAGACCTGGACAGCTTATTTTTTCAAGTCCCCCAGGCAGTTCTGAAGGACAGTTGTGACCTAATGTTGTCATCTTGGCTTTAACACATTTTGTCAGTTCTTCCAAATACTTCTCTGGATCCTGACTCTCTCTGGACTTCTGTGGCTCCCTGAACCCCAGCTCCTAGACCTTTACCCTATTGGGTTGGTTCCATCTCCCATAACACTGCCTGATTTACCATCTTAAAGGACCAGTTTGACAACAGCATTGTCATCCTGTTATAATTTAAAAGCAATGTAAAACCATTACATAAAAATTGGAAAATGCAGAGGAGAAAATGTTTTGAATAAAGCCTCTGTTATCTCACAACCATTACAATCCTTACTCCCAATATGCCCTTGCTTAACAACTCCCTCCCCCTGCCCTGTGGCCAAGGCTGGCCTGCCCTCCTGTCAATGAAGCTTCCACCAGCCTGGCTGTGTTTGTACGACTGCATCTTCCACTCCCTCATCCAGCCAGCATCACCCAGGGAACCCAGAAACATCTCACATCTATCTTCACACTTTGGGGCCCCTGTTATCTCCATCCAGAACATATTCCCTCCCAGCTCCATTCAAAAAAAATCCTGCCATCAACTCAGAGTCCATCTAGCCCGTGGATCGCTCCCCAGCTCTTCCTGCTCACTCAATGCAAGGTCAGTAGCTCAGGCCAAATCAGGGCTCTTTCTGGCTCTGAAATAAATGGTAGTGGGAGAGCCATGTGTACCACCTGAGCCTCTGTCCCCGCATTTATAAAAGTGCAGGTCATCATACTTCCCTCTGGGTGGCAAGAGAGTGAAAAAGATAAATTCCACAAAATTGCAAGCCTGTGAGGATAGGTAAGAGGCAGGCAATTCATCTTAGCTTTCCTTCCATTTTGAAAACTTCTGCAGCAGTGGTTCTGAGTCTTATGTATTCAAATGGATTGGACAGTTTTGCAATTTACAATGCCCAGGCCTGACCCCAGATCAGTCACATCAGGAGGCCTAGGTGGAGTTAAGGACCAGGGCTCTACAGTCTGGGGATGCTGGAGACAATGCCTGCATTCTCACTATGGGTCCCGCACAGTCCCGCCTTGATCACACCCTGTCTCACAGTGTTGTGTGTTTCTCCATCAGTAACTCATCCCCTTAACAATTCTTGCATGATATGATCACGCACAATGAAAATGTAAACATCAACTTACCACAAGGCTTATCCAACCAGGGCCAGGACTGCAGTGAGGCGAGAGAGGGCCCCGGGTATAGTATTTAAGGAGGTCAATCTCAGAATTGTCTAAGTCCTAACTCTGCGCTCGCATGACAGTGAAAGTCAGTACTTCCTGTAAAAGTGTGGCCTGGTGTCTCACTTAACTCACCTTGTACCCAGGATCCCAGTGGCGGGGACAGCCACCAGCTCTGCCCCGAGGACCTCTGCGTGAAATCCATATCAAGGGCTCAAACTTGACTTACCTGTGGCACTGGTTTAATAGGTTTGGCCAATAAGCCTCCAACATACACAGTGTTGGGAAGCAGAGGCCGAGCAAATTCAAAGGCAAAGTCGGAGTTAACAAACCACAGCTCTGCTTTCTTTAGGAGATGAGACAAAACTGGCCTTGGGCCTTCTGGGAAATGCTCCTTGATGGTCTTGTCAAAGGCAGAATGGATTCGCCGTTGCCTCATGCAGAAATTAAAGAACATCAGGAAATTCTTTACTCGGCCCCAGAAGTCCATGCGGTCAGTTAACAAGGAATGGAATACGGGTACATAAGACAGGGGGCTTGGTGGCCCGAAGTCCACAGTGCCAAATGAGGTAGGGAGAAAGGACACAAATGGCCTCCCAAGCTTCTCAGCAACCAGGAAAGGACAGTAGTCAAAAGTTTCAACTACCACCAAGTCGAAGTTCTCATTCTTTAAAGAATTCATGATATCATGTCTCCTGAGCAAATGACTGCACTGAAGCCCTAGTTGTTCCAAAATATTGAAATAGTGCTCAAATGTGCTTCTGTAAGAAAAAATAATAATAAATGATAAATATTCATTGGAGGTGTTAATACCACAATACATAAAAGAATCTTGGGCTACAAAGGAAATATCCTAGGAAAGACAGACCACACCTAGCGGTATCCATCTTAGTCGACCACTGTTCATAGATCGGTACCCTCTTTCCGGTCACTCTGGGCAGATGTTTTCTCTCGAGAAGGTCCCCTTCCTTCTCTCTCCCTTCCCTTGCTTATCCAAATCCCCAGCACTGTCTGTGCCAGCTCTTAGAAAATATATGTTTGAATTCTCAATTCCTGAAATTCACGGGCACAGATGAATTATGCCAACTGAAAACTGATTGCCATCATTGGGACTCTGGGCCCGTGGCAGACCTCACAGATCTCTTTCTACTTGATAAATTCTGTGATGTTCTCTTTAAACTTCATTTACATACTGAACTTTTCTTTATGAATGGTTTTCTTGTTCACTTAGCAAAACTGTGGAAGTCACTTGGTGGCACCATCCCATACATATTGACAATATAGGCTATTTTTTAAAAAATTACTGTGTAATCATGTATGGCAGATTTCCTCACCCAAGGGAATCTTTGGTCATATTAGAACTCAAAATCTCAGCTTAAAGTGGGAATTTCAGGTTTCTATGCCCACAGATTAAGCAAAGAAAAAAATCCTGATTTTGAAACATGTTAGTCTTTCCACTTCAATGCAGGCTGAGGCATCCAGAGAAGATAATGGCAAAGCTTACTGACATGTAATGAATACATTGCCTGTGGGATTATTCTAGGAACCTGTCTTCCTGCAATGCTTTCCCATCACTGCCTGGATAGAATATGGCTGTTTCCTGTTTGTACAACATATGGGGAAATAGATGAGGATAGCCATCTGCACTTTAAGGTACCAGAGCTAACAAATGCAAGGACTCAAGACATCAGAGGTCTCCGGGCTACCTGAAGGACCAAGAGGACCAGTATTCTGGCATAGCTATAACTGTCCACCACTGCACTGTTGCGCCTCAGACAGAGAAGGTCCAGAGACTGAGACATCATTTTCAATATGCGGGTCTCTATCTAATTCTTAGGGTTAACTTCAAGTCACACAATGGGAGTGACCAGCTCAAATCATCTTCTACAGTGTATTTTTAAGGATTTCACATAACAAAGGAGTGGTTACCAAAATTTTGGGATAATTTCACTAATGCTATAAAAATCCTAGATATAGCTCATTAATCATAGTCAAAATTTAGCTAATAAATAGAAAAAATTTCAAGAATGCATGGTTACCTATATCTGTCCTCAAAAATATTAAATTGGGGAGAGTAGACAAATCATATACTTACAGTATATAACTAACATCATGAGACAATATACATTAAGTGTCAGACGTAGGTTAGATCAGACCTATACCAGAGGGACTGTGGTCTTCCAGTTTGAGTGAGGAATGGAGGCTTTCTGGAAATAGCCAGATTTGAGCAGTTACCTTGGTTAGCAAGTAGATTTTCAAGAAAAAAAGAAGGAATGGGTCTTCTGTCATTAACCAAGATAGACATGGATCTCTTCTGCCTTTCCACTTTTATGTCTAAGATTAAGGAATTACATGTTCCTTTCCACTCCAGATGAAACAAAAAGAGAGCCAGCTGGAGACTGGCACTTGCCAAATGTCTCTACAAGGAATGAATCACGCTGGCCCTTGCCATCTACCTCTACAGGGATTGGATCATGAGCTGCTGCACACACCCTGAAAGGCGTTCAGGGTGGAGATCAGGAATGAGGTGCTCTGTGCTCTGGGAAACTGGCAGAACAGGCCTTCAGGTCGTTAGATAGTTTCCAGAGGAGATTTTAGGTGTCAAAATTCTTGCATCATCTCATAGCTAGAAAATCACTAAAATCATCAACGGAGCCCTCTGTTCCTCACGACTAGCAGCAACCTCCTGCAAAAAAAGTGTCTTTGATTGCATGTACCCCCCTTCACCGAAATCACACATATACTGACCTTCCCCCTACCTCTTGGAGCAGTTCCTCAGAGCTGTCTGAAATGCTGTCTCCCAGGCTACAGTCCTCATTTTGCCCCAAATAAAACTTGACTCACAACTCTCACAGTGTGCATGTTTTTTTTTAGTCGACAGGAATCAGCTTCATGTCTTATTTTGCACAAGGTTGATTGCTTTTTAAAAGGGCTTTACATGGCCAGATGTTCAACTTCTACAAAACCATTGTTTAAAAGTCTCCCCTAGATACATGTGAGGATAAAGGAAGAAAAATAAGTGGAAAAGGTATCTTTAATTTAGCTACCAACAATGAGAGGTTGAGGTGCCTATGCTTCTGTGTTGCGAGAATATAGACAAAAATTGTAAGTGAAGTGTTGCGAAGAAGTCCCAGGAGAAGCTACCCCCAACTTGCTACACAAGTACCTTTGTGTTTACAATGGAAGAGAGAAAAAACAGAGCAAGAAAAATCTCCAGTGGCTGGAACGGATGATTTGGTGTGAAACACTTGTTTACCCAACTATTCACCCATCATCCAGCCCCACCTCCATCCGTCTCTCCCTTCATCCAACCATCCCTTTGTCAAATCCTCAGTACAAGCATTCACCCATTCACTTATATTACCAACATTTTGACTCCTTAGTTCAAAAATTTAAAACATTACCTGCCTCCCAAAGTTTCTTCCATAAAGAAATCAAAGGACTTCTTAAATTCCTTGTTAAAATCTTCAGGTAGAAGCCAGTTAATGACATTGTATGATTTCTCACCCTCTTTAAAACCTAAGAAAGCACCAATGGGTTAAGTAAGATAAATATGCCACACAACATGGATTAGCAGCGCGATAATACCGACATTTGATTATGGCCATAATTTTGTATTTATCTGAATCTTTGTCTTTTGAACTATTTTTGTTCCGTCTGGTTGCTTTCTCATTCGATCCCGTATACTGAAAGTGTTTATTGAGAACCTTCCAATAATTCAGGAATGCTTTTCTATTTAAAGCTATGGAAACTTTCATTTAAAGCTTTCATTGAATGTATAGCTATTTGTCTTATTTTACTGAAGAGAAAACAAAGTTAATTAGTTTAAGACAATTTGTCAAGGTTGATTCCAGAGTCTCTGCTCTTTCTGTTTTAGAAAAATTCAACTTCATTATTTAAAGTGATACATCCAAATAGTTTTGTGATTCAGTGAAAAATACTGAATGGCTTCATTAAAATAGTAGTCTTCTGCACTGCTACTCGCCAACTTGACTTCTTCCCAATGACCATGTGTAATAAAAAGTCTGAGTCTATTTTTGATGTTTGACTGCTGGCAGGCTTCAAGCCCTACCTCCCTTTCCCTCTTCTGTGTCTAATTTGGGCAAAGTGATAAGAAAGTCCACATGCTCCCTCCTCTGGCCCTAAGTGGAAGTTTCAAACCATGCAAGTTAAGACAATAGGGGGAAGCCTAACTATACCCCAACCCCTTACCCACAGTAAAAACTAAAGCTAGTTATCCCTCCCTACTCTACACAGCTATTTTTTAGGTGCTTGAGAACCTGCCTTGTTCTTCCCAAAATAAGGCCATATTATTTGAATAATAAACCTTTCATACTCTTAATACGTGTGTGCCTACATCAGTCATGACATCCAATCAGCTCTGTGTAGGAATTGTGAACAGATTAATGGTGGGACTACACATCACAGCTCCCATACCCAATCTTAGTGAAATAACCGACTCTATTCAAGGATCTACTGGGAAATACTTGGCAGTCATTGATTTGGCTAACCCTAACCCTACCCTAACCCATGGTAACCACAAATCAAAAACTTATGATACATATAGAGCAAAAAGGAGAGAGAAAGGAACACAAGCGTACTACTAAAGAAATCATCAAACCACAAGGGAAGACTAAAGAAGAAAAGAACAGAGAAGCACCACAAAAACAACCAAAAAACAAGTAACAGAATGGCAATAAATACCGACCAATAATCACTTTAAATGCCAATCAAAAGACATAGGGTGGCTATTGGATTAAAGAAACAAGACCCATCTACAAGCTGCCCACAAGAGACGCACTTGAGAACTAAGACACACACAGACTGCAAGTGAGGGGGTGGGAAAAGATATTTCATGCGAATGGACATGACAAGCAAGCTGAGTAACACTACTCACACTACTCATACAGGACAAAATCGACTTTGTAACAAAGTCTATAACAAAAGACAAAGAAGGGCATTATATAATGATAAAAGGATCAACACAAGAATAGGATATAACCTTAATTAACATACATTAACCTAATATAGGAGCACCTAAATATATAAAGACAATATTGAGGAGGGAGATCAAGATGGGGGAGTAAGAGGATGTAGAGCTCACCTCCCCCCACAAACACATCAAAAATATATATATACATACATGTGGAACAAGTCTCGTGAAAAACTAACCAAACTAGTAGAAGGACTTCTATACAATCAAAGACATAAGAAGGAGACACACATCGTCAGGTAGGACAGGAAGGAAAGCCCCACGTTCGCATCTGTGCCCCGGGAGGGAACTCAGAGGAAACAGGAGATTGCACAGGTGGACACTCACCCTCAGGAGCGAGCAAGTCAAGCCACAGACTGGGTGTCCCAGCCCTAATGTCCTATGCATAGGAGAAAAGTCCTCCCCTCCGCCCCGGCTGCTTGGAGAGCCTCTGGGACATACATAAAGGCTGGAGAAACCTAGCCTCCACTTGTGAGCAGTGTCCAGGTGCTGGCTGGCCCCAGACAGGGTGGACAGAGGTCTGCCCTAGCGGCCGCCACCGTGCTGCACTCTGAGTCTGAGCCGAGCACACACCCAGCCTCACTCACTCCACACCACAGCCTGGCACTGGATCTAGGGTGGCCAGGATCTGGGAAAAGACTCAGTCTAGGGATGCAGAGGTGACCCAGGACCCCAGGATGTGGCCCAGGTGGGGAAGCAGTAGCCACTGTTGGTGCTTACTCAGATGGCACACCAGAAGCAGCCCAGACTTCTGACGGCAGCGTGGCCACTTGAACTCCCACAACCACCATGCCATGCTCTCCAGTCCCAGTCAAGCAATTGCTCTGGCCCCGCCCACTCCACACCAGCAGCCTCGCACTAGATCTGAGGCAGCCACAGGAGGGGAACAGACAGGATCCTGGCTGCATCTAGGCGGAGCTGCAGACCCCCAAGCAGGCAGTGCATCAGATCTCTGTAAGCACCCAAGCCCCACTTGCTTCGACACTCCCCTTCTTTGGGGTAAAGGCCCCAGTGTGAGAAGAAGGAAAAACACACGCTTACAGAGAACAGAGCCAGCATAACTGACCCTTAAGGATTCCCCACTAACAACTTGAGAGTAAACCCCATTCCTGACAGGCAAGTAATGGCCACTGAGCAGAGAGGAAGTCCCATCTCACACCCTGTACAGCCTCCTCCAACACCAGCTCTTTCTCTACCAAGGTGATGACCATCAGCACACCTGGAGGAAAGACATGACTGGCCTCCACATCAAATCCAGCCCTCCCATCAAAGGCACTGGCACATTTGGTACCTAGGGATGCTCCCACAAGAGATCAGCTCTTCAAGACCATGATTCATAGAGACAGAGAAAGTTAAGTAAAATGAAAAGGCAGACAAACTACTCTCAATTGAAAAGCAAGAGAAAACCCCTGAAAAAATAATGAAACAGGGATAAATAATCTGCCAGACAATGAATTCAAAATGTTGGTAATAAAAATGCTAACTGAATTAGGAAAGAGAATTGATCTAAGCACAGATTATTTGAACAAGGAACTAGGGTTAAGGTTATAA